ATATATGATAGCCAAATAGGAGTATTACTCCTCTGCGCTTCGAAAAACTAAGCCAGCGTGTTAAATTTACTCAACTTAACGCTTATACAGTAATTATAATCGTTGTCTTTTCCCAAAAGAGATCACAGGTGCATTCTATAGGATCGTTTGGAGGGACAAAATATTTGGTGACAGGCGTCAAATATGTGAAAGAGTAGATCTACTATCAAATATCAAGTTTTTAGACGACCAAAAATGAAATATCTCCTCAATTTTATATTAAACTTTCAATTTAAATGTATGCTGCCATATATATATATATATATATATATATATATATATATATATATATATATATATATATATATATATATATATATATATATATATATATATATATTTATATATATATATACACACCACCCAGGCCCTGATCAGCATGCTGCATTCGTGGAATAAAGCAACTGACGGTAGTGGCGCAACTGTCAGGACAGTATTAGTTGACTTCAGTGGCGTGCTGGGTACTATTTTTCTGGGGAGGCCAGTCGGCTGGCAACTAATATGCGCCCCTATAATATTACCCTTGATAAACGAGGGCCGAAGGCACGAGCCGAGCGCCGCAGGTGCGAGGTTTGTCTAGGGGGGTCATGCCCCCCGGGGGGGGCATGCCCCCCGGAAAATTTTTGAATTTAAAGTCTCTGAAATGCCATTTCCTGGACTTTGGGGGAAGATTTGACAGAAATCTGATGGTCAGGAAACGGCATTACAACGTGTCGAAATTTGAAAATTGGTTAGAATTTAGTAGTAGCACTTAAATTGGACAATGCTAACTACTTCCAGCAATTAATCTAATCCCAATTCTATTCTCTACTGATCTGAATACATTTACAATTTACAGCTCTTTTATACAATAACACACGAACCCCACGCATATGCATTTTAAGGTTTCCTTGCCTGGCTGCCAAAAAGGCGTGTTTCATCATTATCTCATTACTTACATTACTCATAATGTTTCTTGCGCAAACAACTAAATTGCGTACACAACTTTACATTATCATAACTTCAACTATCTAATTTGCGCCGCTCTCGTGATTCGTGAAGCATAATAAAGGGCATAATATAAGGGTATAATACCAGCAAAAAAGGGCATAATTCCCGTGATCGCTTCGAAGCCTGGTCAATATTCCGGTAATGCATGAGACATGGCGTGTGATCACTGATCATGTTTCTATATGAACGAGTGATTTCGTGTGAGTCGTGAGGTAGCAAATACGGTTAGACAAAATAGTCTGCAATTTAATATACTCACTTTGTCGCCTATGCGCTTAGTCTGTTTATAAGTCTATAAACACATCTTTCATTGGCGGAATTAGCAACTATATTTTTTCAAATGCGTTTCTTCCCACCTACTTTCAAAATTCGGCGCGGGATCGGCGCCCCCTTTTCATTTTTGCGCCACCCAAAAATTGCCAGCTGGGGGGGCCGTGGCCCCCCGGCCCGCCCTGCCAGCACGCCACTGGTTGACTTTAAGAAAGCCTTCGACTTGATCGATCACCATATACTTGTAGACAAACTAAAATCGTATGATATTCCTGAAAGCATTGTTTTGTGGGTTATTGACTTTCTTACTTGTCGCAAACAACGTGTCAAACTTGGTAACGACTGCTACTCTGAATGGGGAACTATTCCATCTGGGGTTCCCCAGGGTACCAAACTCGGGCCGTGGTTATTCGTTATTATGATAAATGATTTGAAAATCCAAGATTCGGAACTCTGGAAATACGTCGATGACACAACGATGTTTGAAATTGTTGAAAGAAACAACGAATCCAACATACAGGAGAAAGTTGATGAACTTACACGACATATTTCTATTGATAAACTTACGTTAAACGTGTCCAAGTGTAAAGAGTTACGTATTAGCTTCAGTAAATTTCCTCCCGATTTCGATCCTATTACCATCAACAATAAGCAACTGGAGGTCGTTGAAAGTGTAAAACTCCTTGGCATGCAGATATCTAACGATCTTAAGTGGAATAGCCATATATCTGTTATTATGAAGAAAGCGAATAAGCGTTTGTTTTTTCTGAGCCAACTAAGACGTTCGAACGTGGACAGTAAGGAACTTATTACCTTTTACTGTACTTGTATAAGACCTGTTACAGAGTATGGCTGCCCAGTATTTCACGATAGCCTGCCAAATTACCTTGTTAAAGACATCGAAAGAATACAGAAACGCGCGATGCGGATAATATTTCCAGCCTTATCATATGACGAATCTCTCTCCGTTGCTGAGTTGGTCCCTCTAGAAGCATGAAGACAGCAACTAACAGACAAACTATTCCAGCAAATTATTAGCGACCCAAGTCACAAATTGAACAAACTTTTACCACCTGTAAACGAATGCCAAATTAAGCTTAGGAAGAAACGACTTTTTAAAAATCAGCTTTTTAAAACAGACCGATTTAGGAATAGTTTTATAACTCACAATGCACTGAAAATGCGCACCTAGTTATAGTAGCAGACAATTATAGTCAACTTATACGCACATTGCCATTTGGCTCCAAACTTTTAAAATTTTTAATAGTTATTCTAATTTTAAACTATATGTAATTCTTAGCGTAATTCAGCTTTTGGCTGCAATGCTTTGCAAATAAACCATCTATCTCTATCTATATATATATATATATATATATATATATATATATATATATATATATATATATATATATATATATATATATATATATATATATATATATATATATATATATAGCTAGTGCATGCCGTCATGCAAACAAATTTTTAATTAAAAACGGTTAGGCTTTATGACTATGAACGATCGGTATATAAATGGGATATTTTAGTGTAATCTGATCATGCACCTGAAGAAAGAGGATCTAGAAAGGGCCTCTCGAAACAGAACTGTAGTGCTTTTCAATTTTTAATGAACATTCTTAGGTTTTAATCTTTAATTTTTAATTTTAACTTAGCTCCACTTTGGTGTAGAGCACTATACGGCAGAAGGAGAAAACCAATTTGTGTATATATATATATATATATATATATATATATATATATATATATATATATATATATATATATATATATATATATATATATATATATATATAATATATATATATATATATATATATATATATATATATATATATATATATATGCTCTATCTTTATGATATTGAGCACTATTTGCGTTTCGTATACACAAACCTACTCGTACATTCGCACCCGTATATCGGTCGTGCACTCTAGTTTACGTTTCTCATTTCTTACTAACATCATAATGCGACAATTTCGATTTTATTTTATTTTATTTTATTTTACAAGATTCGCCGCACCAAACAAATATTAAACTTATTCAAATATCTACGAGTGCATTGGCTGGGACTGACCACAGAGATAAACTCCAATAACGGGGTCCCGACAAAAAAGACAAATTAATATATTTTGATTTGACTATTCATTAAAGAATATTGCTATACCATCGCAGGACGCTTATTTGAAGAATTTGATTGAAAAAGTGGAAAGTGTAATAAAACGTATGAGATGGAAAGCACATTTCTTTAATAAAAACAGTATCAACAAGAACCAAAACCACCATTTCGGCCTTGCGTCCAACAAAACACCTTCTTCGATTCCGGAAATGAAACCTTTCGAAACCGACCTTATAAAACTCATCGAAAATATACAATTTCGTTCAGGGAAAAACCAGTTTCAGAAATCTTTGGCTAACGATTTGAAGAAAATTAATTCATCGCCCAACATTTTCATTTTTGCAGACAAAACTAGAAATATTTATGAAGCCTCGCTCGACACATACAACAAGCTCTTACATGACAACATTACAAAAACATATAAACATGGATCCGAGGACACTATAGACGAAGTTGACTCTGAACTAAAAGACATTTCGAACAATAAATTTAGGAATCGGCGACAGAATTGAAAAAATGAAAAAACGTGAAGCATTTATACCTTTAAAAGACCACAAAGAAAATTTCGAGAACAATCCAAAATGTCGGCTAATTTGATCTTGAAATGAATTTGATCGAACCAGTGGAGAAATACAAAACAAGTAATTGAATTGTTTGGAAATATAAAAGACAAAGAAAGACATAGTTTTATTTCGTTTGATATCGTTGACTTTACCCATCCATTTCGGAAAAACTTTTGGAGCAAGCATTATCTTGGGTTTCTAATTTAACTACCATTTCGGATAATGATATTTTGATCATAAAACACGCCAGAAAATCTCTGCTTTTCAACACCGGAAAACCATGGACTAAAAAAGATAGTGAAGGTTTGTTTGACGTTAGGGACCGGTCATTATTTATGGCAGGGGTGAGGCCGGCGAAGCAAATTTTTTTCCGTAGACAGTCGGACTCCTCATTGATAGTTGGACGCATCATTGACCCGCGCCCTTAAACAAAATATTCAGCGGATACTCGTCGCTCGCAATTGGTGATTTCCGACAGGAGCGATTGGCATTGCAGAATACCTATCTACTTTTTAAGCTATATGCCTTTCAAATATCATGCCGGGATACGATGTATTAATACATCTACATTTATTCTCAATAGATCAATAATAAATAGATTCTGGCCGCGTAGCTCAGTTGGAAGAGCATTGGGCTAGTATTCCAAAGGTCGTAGGTTCGAATCCCACCGTGGCCGGGCATATTTTTCAAGCTCGCCCGGTGTGGATATGCACTCAGAGTAACATCGCAAACATAATAAATAGATGGTGGCCCGGTAAAGGTAGCTACGAGGCATATAGTGACTTAGGCTTAGCATTAATAGACTAAATTGTCATGGTGTTAACGTAGCTCTCTATTCTATTGGATACGCGGATACGCAGTCAAGTAGTTATTTTGAGAACGAGGCATACAGTTAGATTTAAAGCATTAGATCAAATTCTCACGCTATAGGTAGCTCCGCTATATTTTAGTGGATACGAGACTGCGTGGCATTAATTAGTTGGCAGTAATGCTATAGAGAGTTTGCTATAGAGAGTTTAAATGTGGTGTAATATGCAAATATGTTCCTCACAACCGGACATTGGTGTTTGACAGATTATGATTAATTAGCGTCGCTGGGAGAAAATATTTTATATTATAAAACATACTAAGCATAATATTCAACATTAAAAGTCTTCCATGATATTTCCTTTATAGTATCAATTCGTAATATTGTCTTAGTAATTAGTTTCAACTTGTATATTAGAACGAGGCAATAAGATCTGGTATATACGTATCCAGTGAAATACTGGCCGGGCTACATGATATGTATTCCGGCACAGGGTATTCTGCAATACTTCTATTTGTGGAAACTGGTATTGATTGTCGCTTTGAATCTTCCACTATTTCCTTGCACGCTAGTTATCTTATCCTGATTCTCTTCAAAAGGGATGATATATAGTTTTAACTCGCAATAACCGATCTTGAGTATTTTCGGAACCAGAAAAACAAGTTTGTAGATTTATTATGGCATCGCAAGTAAATCGTTCATCTTTCTACACGTGGTCGCAGAAGAACAACGTGGAGTGATGGATATATGGTGCACCAGTGGGTTACGAGGGGATTCATTGATAACGCGCGGAGGCCTGGACGCGGATCAGTGATGCGTCCGACTATCAATGAGGAGTCCGACTGTCTACGGAAAAAAAATTTGCGGCTGCGAAGAGAAAATGGTGGGGTAACTGAAAAATAATAGTTGCTTTAGGTGGGGTGGCCAAAAAATCCTTGCATGCAGAGGTGGGGTAAAAAAAAACCCTTACTTTAATCACACACAATACAATATATACTACTATCAGAGTTTAATATGTGATTATTCTAATTTTTTAATAAAATGTTATTGCTTTCCAAAATGTTGACAGAAACACCTCCCTCAACCCACCCGTAAAGGGTCATTTTTATATTCATTTACACACAAAATCTCCAAAGACTCCAATTACCAGACAAAATATATACTGTATGCCTATATATAGGGGCAGTTTATATGGCGCAACTGCAAGCCAACCCCAGGGTACCCAAGCTGGCCCAGTTTTGGCGAGATCCTGCCTTTGTTGTTATTTCTTACTAAAGTTCACCTTGTGTATATATGGATAAAGAGCGGGCCCAGCCATAGCTAAGCGAGATCCCGCCCCTTTAGCCCGAGATCTTGCTTCAGGAAAAGTGACCTTAAGTCTGTAGCCCCTAACCCCGGGCATCCAGCCTCGCCCCCATATAAACATCCTCTTATTACATATCTCAAAAAGTATATGTACAGTGTAAATTTTCAGGATTTAATTTTTGGGCATCTACACTTGATACTGAATAACTAATATTTATATCCAGTATGTGCTTGTAAACCATGTGGACAATTCAGGTAGCAAATCATGAAATATGCCCATGCCCCTTGTGAATCTGGAGAATCATTCCAATGGCTAGTTCACAATATGTTCAACTCTAGTCTTTGGCAACTAGCTGTTTTCAAAGTCTTTACTAGCAGATCATGTATACATGGATAAAATAAGAGAAATCTATTTATACCCGTTTTACAGATTAATTTAATTGATACAGCATATATATATATATATATATATATTTATATATATATATATATATATATATATATATATATATATATATATATATATATATATATATATATATATATATATATATATATATACACTCTATATATATATATATATATATATATATATATATATATATATATATATATATATATATATATATATATATATATATATATATAGACGGTACCGTTTCGGCCTTATAGGCCTCATCACTGATGAGCAGGATGAAAGTAACTGATATTTACAGATACCTTTGATGCCTCACGATTGTGGGACATCAAAACCATGCCAGAGCGCTCAAACTGCAAGCAGTGAGCGTGCGCAATGCGTAAGCGGCATGGCTCATCCTGTAGAGCGCTCAATATGACCTAAAGGCCATAGAGCGATATCTAACTCTAATATATATATATTAGGGGTGCACCGGAACTCGGTTCCGGCCGGTTAGTTCCGGCCGGAACCCCGATTTTTTAGAGTTCCGGTTCCGGCCGGAACTAGTAAAAAAAGCATGGCCGGAACCGGAACTCTGTTGTTTTCAGAGAGATAGAATATCAAACGTTTTTGTGTCTAACAAAAGGTCACAGTAGGAAGAAATTTGGACTACGCCCAGGGAAATGTACACTACTAACACTTCATTATGACGTTTAACGCTTGTCAATCTTTTTATTCTAACATTTGCGAGTTCTCTCGTTTATGACTTCAAGTGTCTGCCTGTCTGGCAGCGGACAAAATAACATATGACTATATGTGGCTTAATAAATTAGTTCCGGTTCCGGCCGGAACTTCCGGCCGGAACTTTTTTCCAGTTCCGGTCGGATCCGGTTCCGGCCGGAACTTAAAAAACTGGTTCCGGTGCACCCCTAATATATATATATATATATATATATATATATATATATATATATATATATATATATATATATATATATATATATATATATATATATATATATATAATTTGAAACGCTCTCCGTGTTTAAACAATAACATATACATACCCTTTTACAACTACAATTTATTTTGTAGCTCTTTGAACAACATATATATATATATATATATATATATATATATATATATATATATATATATATATATATATATATATATATATATATATATATATATATATATATATATATATATAGCTTAAGATTTTGGTTTACGAAACACAAACAGTGCTCAATACCATATAGATGAGCGTAATATAGTTTTTCGTTTTACCTCAAAAAACCACAACAGTCTGTTTCATCCGTATAGGAATCATCAGGTGGTGAATAATTTCGAAATTGTAGGTTGCTTTTATGCTATCGAAAGAATGTGCGGAATGCGTGTAGGCGAAACAATGCTTAGGTGAAACAATGCATGCTTGGGTCATTAGGTTTTGTTAACGACCTTGTTTACTCGAAACCGGTTTTTGTGACGACATTTGCCGAAAAGTTCGCCTCTTTTATTGAGTAAATTGTCTTTGTTTATGTCTTTCAAAATGCAAAATTTTTCTTCAAAACATAAATTGCAGCGTTTTGATCCCCCTGTGTACGAAATAGCGTGTTTTAAAATTGACCATTTGATGGTATAATCCTGATTGTTTTCTTTTAATTTCCAAATATGTTTCGAAAGTTCCGTTTTGTTTGAGTCTTTTTATGACGAAAAGATGAAGTGTGGTTAGCGTAACGTTCCTTAAATGTAGTCGCTGTCATACCAATGTAGTGTTTAGTGTCGTTCGTGTTGTTCGTTGTGACTGTTGCGTTGTAAATAATGTTGTTGGTCATGCATTGTTTCGGTAGTGGGCAAGTGTTTTTGTTGTCGCAGTTACAGTTGTCAGTTTCCGTATTCTGCGATTGACTGTTCCTAATTATATGTGCGTTGTGTTTGGTGATTATAGACTTAACGTTGTTCATGCAACTGTAGCTTACTTTTAAAATGTTTCTGTTAAAAATCTTGTGTAGTTTGTGCTGTAGCGGGAAGTGTTTGTCAATTAAACTTAAGAATTCCCGTCCTATGTTCGTGTTAACACTCTTACTAAATGGTGGGTTGAACCAAATTATGTTGCGTTGCCTATTCCTACGTGTCCGTTGCGGTGCATTCTCAGTGTACGTAAATTCATGATCAAAGTTACTATGTGCAAGAGCGCTCTGGTAAATAGGTGTAGATTCCTTAAATGTTTGTTCGTCCGATGAGAGAAGTGCAATGCGTTTGTTGATAGCTGTAGGTAATTGTCTTGTAATGCTTGGTGGATGGTTTGAGTGTCTGTGGATGTACAATGGATCGTCATTGGGTTTCCTGTATGGTTTGTGTTTTGCGTTGTTCAGGTCGAAAGTAACATCTAAAAAATTTACGACGTTCATATTTACTTCGGCGGTGATTTTAAGGTCAAATTGCTCGAAAATTTTGTGTAGCTCTTTTCTAGTTTTGTCTAGTAAACGGGCGGATTTGCTTTTTATAATAGCCAAACCATCATCTCTATAAAGTCCGATGTTTTCCTTGCCAAATCTCTTACCTAAGTGATTTAAAATGAAAAGGCCTACCAGCTCACAAATTTCAGCGCCGTCGAAACTACCCATAGTGACGTCAAATAAACTGTTGCTTCCGTCTTTTTTTGTCCATAATTTGCCGTTGCCGAAAATAGGCCGTATTCTGAAGTCGATTATCGTTCAAAAAATATAAACTTTACGGGGTCTACTTAAAAACAACTTAAATCTATAGATTTTTACCTACTGAATACAAATATGCTTGTTGGCACCTCTGAAATCCTGCTGTTTTTTAGTAAAAACCCTCGAAAGTTCGAAATTTTTTACTCGTGTTTTGATGTCCGCCATCTTGGATTTTATTGTATGCGCACGCGCAGTTGCTATGTTAGAGGGGGTATCCGCTGACAATCCCGGCTCATAAGTACTTACAGGCCTTGTAAAATGCCGGATAACATG